ATCATCAAGAGCGCCTTTCGTGATCCGCTGTAAAACGGAAACCCCTCGCCTACGCTGCACTGTGCTGTCAGCCGACATTGTAATCTCTCATTGTGTCAACATCTCTGTTTGAATACTGTTTGAATACCATTGGAGTAACACATGATCTGATTAGAAATGGCAGGACACCGACCCCTCCAGACCACCACACCCCAGACTGGTGTTGATTAACCTCTGTCAACACACTGCTGCTCAGCATCCCACACACCCAGCACACATACATGTGATCCTCCATTTCTTTAGTTTTATCAAGGTGCTACAGCAGCAGTCTGACACTAACGCCACGTTTACTGCAGAAGTATTTTGCAGCATTTAAAACGAAACATTTTTTGAGGTTTGTTTTTAGCCCGTTGCTAACTGAATCCATCGACAGGAGCTTTTTTAGATATCAGCAGCATAAAAAAAAAGAGTTTGAATATTGTAGAACATTTTGAATATTTAAAAAATATATATTTGAAGAAAAAATATAACCATACCAGATTTTAGGAACATTTCCCTTTGCAGAGAAATTAAAGGAGCAAGTTCCAAAGTTTTGTAGCATTTCATGTGCAGATAAAATAATCCCCCACACACAAAAGTCAAATAAATAATTTACAGAAAGTTTAACATCACAATAACAGAACAAATATTTGCTCTTCAATAACTGATTGAAGTATAGTAATAAGTAGTTTGAGGTGCAGAATATTCTTGGTTATGATTATGAATTAAAATGTATTGACAGTAGACAGAAAGTGCTGATGACAGACGATCCAGTGTGCTGCAGGAAAAACTATGTGCACATTTTGAAATGTTTCATCAGTTCCACACAAATGTGTTGCTCTTATTATTTGATCATTATTGTCAAAATGTGCGATCTCACAGCCAAATGAGTTTACCGTCTCAGTCGATATTCAGACTGGAGGTGGAGGAAAGAACACCGTCATGGTAATTTATCAGAGACGAGAGTGAAAGTTGAAAAGAAAATGAAAATATTAGTCAGTTGTCTTGTGAGTATGACTATAGAAGTGCAATTACGTTAAATTGGGCCTATTGAAAAAGAGTTATCTGCCTGATGCTATTCAAAGGTGTGATTTCATTCATCATTACAGCTTGACCTGGATTCTAAACTTTCAATTTTTCCCAAGGCAGCGTGCTTTTCTGAAAACCTAATTTCTGCTAAATTACCCATAGTAGTAATGCAGTTCAAAACAATTGATTTTCCCTCTAATGCCCTGCTCTCCATCTCTCAGCCAGTCTCCAGTCCCCCCTCTCTCCTTAATTATGTTTTTTTTTTTTTCACCCTGTCTCCCCGTTTGGTTTCATAGCGAACAATGCCGATGCCAACTAATCAGTCTGTGCCGATGCCACAGAGCCCCCAGCAACAGCTGAAGGAGCGCCATGCCCCATGAATACCAAACAGCCAGCACAGTGCGACAAGTGCTGAGCAGTCAGACGCAGCACAGCCAGAGCGGAGCTGGTGCCCACAAACAGCCAGACAGTTTTATTAGGGGTCTGTCTGACACGCAGTAAAGTCTGGCAGCACCCGAGCCCACTGATGAAATCCTCACCACTCCCCCAACAGTAACAAAGCAGCATGCTCAGAGCAATCCGCCAAGGATCCAATAAATATCACCACGTAAAAATCAGCTCCCGGCTAGTTTGTAACCACGCTCGGTGGGGAATACAAACTTTGTTCAAAGTCAAACTAGTTCTCAACAAGCAAGTGCTTAATGGACGTCTTCTGTCTCATCCTCACTTTACACAGCGTCTGATGCAACAGGGGAAAATCCTCCAAAGGATTCCATATTATTCACTTCAGACAAAAGGCAAATTAATACACAGCAGCATCTTTGACCTTGTTTAGTTTTATAATTAATGCCCATTGGCTATTAAATAGTAAAATGATTTGACATGGGGAGGGGAGGGGGGGGGGCTAAACCAAGAGCAGTGCTTGTACTTTCTCTTAGTTCTGGAAATGCTCTTTATAAAAGCTGTTAATCGATGAAATAACATGTAGCTATATTAAATATTTAAGTTGTATTCAAGGTCAAATAAGTGCACGGTGAAATATGAAACTTTATAGTCTTACATTGAAAACGTTAATGAGCCAACTCAAATAAAGATATATACTGGAACTGTTCATACAGGAAGATAACGACTGATTTCAAGAAAGAATCTCAGCTTTGGCAGATATTTTGCTCAGATATTTCATGCAGTGCCTCGTCAAAACAGATATTGTTCAAATGAAAATGGAGCAGTGTGCTTTGGTCCTAAATAAATGGGGTTTGGTGTGCCGTTGCTACACTTTGGCTCGTCTCGGAGTTCCTGCAGGAAAAGATTGATTTAGACCTTGAATAGGTGTAGATAAACCAAAAGGCTCCAGCTGATGGACCCGAGTGTGTGTGAGAGATTACACTCCATTGTTCAGAGGTGGTCATGTAACACGCCGCGCGCCGCCACATCGCTTCCCGATAAAAGTAATAAGGACAGATTAACATTTATCCCCCCACATTTGGATTTGAGCTCGAGTTGACGCAGAAATCAGATGGATTTAGTGAATTACAGTGCTTGTTTTCTTTTTTCTCTTCTTTTTTTTTTTTTGTTGCATTAATTGTCGGGGTTGTGTTGTCTGGTGGAGCAGCTTAGGGATCTCTTATCGCAACGGGGGAGGGGGGGGGCAGGTGGTGGCCCGGGTGGTGGGGGAGCGTCAGGTACGCCTGATAGCAGAGCAGCGTAGAACAGAGGGGGGGACGTCTGAGTTTCCAGACACTGCGGCAGGAGGCCAGACAGTCATCTGAACACACACACACACACACACACACACACACACACACACACACACACACACACACACACACACACACACGTCTACTTAGCACACATACACCTCTTCTAAACCATGCATGTTTTACACACCGTGTCCTCACCCTCTTTAAATCTGCACTATAGTCAATTCAGTTTTGTTTTTAAGTCAGTCAAAGGGTATAAATCGCAGTGCCTCTCGTGATGTAATTATCCCCGTGCATCGACAGCACAAAAGTTTCTCTTCTATTCTCTGGACGACGGAGACGACAGATAAACTCTATTAACTTTTTCAGATTACAGTAAGTGCTGAGGGAGGATGGGGGTGTCTGGTAAAGGACAGTGGAGCTGCGCTGAGACTGGAGGATTTTCACGGCGGGGCCTGCGGGCACAGAGCAGGAGTGTGGAAAAGTGAGGCCGATGATTGAAAACCAAACAACAAAGCTCAGAGGGAACAGAGTGACGCCCGGCAGGCCAGAGGTCTCAACACGGGCAACTGGTCTCATCTCAGACCTGCTGTGTGTGTGTGTGTGTGTGTGTGTGTGTGTGTGTGTGTGTGTGTGTGTGTGTGTGTGTGTGTGTGTGTGTGTGTGTGTGAGAGTGGGTGTTAGACATGTGAGGCGTCCAAAGATCCACAGTATTTGAGGGAGTATCCCCCCCTTCAGTCCTCCGCGGTCCGGCCTTATCTCCCCTCTTTCTCTGATCTGTGATTCACTTCGGAGGCGTTGCCAGGGAAACCTGCTATCTGGCTAGCAGCTTGATGGAGTTATTGAACTGTAACCGGCCGGGATAATTATGCTTCTGTCTTGCAGGTTGGCTATCCAGTAGCTGGCACTTGAATGTGACCTATAACGGTTTAAGCACGGGCAGAAGCTTTTAACCCCTCGGACACCCGACAGCTGAACTGTTGAAACTTTGCCCAGTCAGAGTTCAAACCTTTAGTTGGACTCTTCCTTTGGTCCACTGATGCTGCTTTGAGTTGCACTTTGTTGTTATGCAAAATATTCACATTTGTCCAGTTAAAAAAAAAAAAAAAAAAAAAAGTCCAGCAGTTTAAAAAAGAAGAACAGGTTTTAATTTGATTAATTTACAGCTTTGGAAAAAAAATAAAAAATAATTTGTGGCTGTATTCATCTTTGTTTTTATAGACACAGTGAATCAACAAGGCTTCACATGACGACCCTTTAGACATTTATTTTTTTATATATATATTCAAGAGAAAAATAATAATTAGTGACAATAATATTATTTTATTATTTATTTATTAATGTGTTCATGAAAAATGATAAAACACGAAGCAGCGGTTAGTTTGATTCCTCAGAAATGTTTCACAGTGAAACTCTGAACTAAAAGGAACAAGAGGACGTTTTCTTACAGCTGAATGAACAAATTAAAAAATATGAAGCCCTGTAACATAACACACAGAGTACATGTTATATAACATCCATAATTAAGACTTATATTAACATAGTACTCCGATGTAGATATGCAACATCAATCAATTTATTGACTCGAGGAAAATGAATCGCCCCCTTTTTAAATTAAAATAATAATTCCTGTCATTTTCCAGGTAAACATGTCATCGTGTCCTGATCGCAGCTTTTCAGTTCAGGAAGAGTTTTGATCCAAAAGAGTTTGTTAAACAAAAACAGAAAATCACTGTGGGTTATGAAATACTCTGAAGGGCATCGTCGTATGTTGTGACATTTTTATAGAATAATTAATTGTAAATTTAATCTGCAGCATAATTGATGAAGAAAATGATCATTTGTTGCAGCAGTAGTGTAGTTCAATTCAAAAGTTCTGACTAATCAAACATGATTGTGACAATCGGCGTCAGAAAAGGTATCGACTTTAAAAAAGTAAAATGTTTCGGTTCAGCTAGCTTAGTCTCATCCGGGTGCTTCGCTTTGAAACAGGTCACGATCGCAAATTCCAGGTGTGTCCTCGAGTGCATCCATCGGGCTCCTGGACACTTGGATAATCACAGCGTGTAGACTCTGATTTAACAGAGATTAACTCTCACTGTAAAAGAGATAAACGCTGCTTCATTTTGCTCTTAGTTTCATGTGTTACTTTTGGTTTCCCCGTCCTTGTAAAGGCAGTAAACATGGCTCCTGTATTTTATATTTTCCCACACATATTCTAACTGGCTGCTGTCATTATCTCTTCTTGTCCAGGAGCCCTGGCAATGCTCTTTCTTTCTCCGTTCTCAAAGGTAAGACCAATCCTGACTCATTTAAACCTCTCTTACTTATGTTTGTTTGTTTGTCTGCCTTGTTTTGCCTGCACTCTTGCAGCAGCAGTGTGAGTCAGTAAAAGTGTCAGCCGGCCGTAACAGACGGCCTGCGCGACGTAATTAGCCCGGAGTCATTTGGAAGCGGCTCAGCTCGGCCCAGGTGCCCACTGTGCACAGAAAGAGACCAGACGACCTTTTACTCAGCTCTGTCCCACTGCAGTCACTTAAAACAGTGATGGATGTTTCCCTTAACACCACTCTCTCTACCCGCTGCCTCCATTCTCCTCCCTCTCTCTCTCTCATCTCAACATTTTACCCCCCTCTGCTCCTCTCAGCTCCGACGCTGCTCTCGCCTTATTTGTCCTCCTCTCCTCTCCTCTCCTCTCCTCTCCTCTCTTCTCCTCTCCTCTCCTCCTCTCCTCTCCTTGTTTTTCCTCCATCCTTCGCCTTTTACAGCCCCCCCCCCCCGCCTTTATTCTCTCTGTTTCTCCAGAGCGAAGAGGAGAAAGAGGAGGAAGAAAGAAAGGTGGGGAGGGGATTGAAGTGAAGTGGAGGAGGCGTTTCCCGCAAGCAGAGTCGAGCAACCTCCCCCCCCCCCCCCCCCCCTCCCTCCCTCCCTCCCCTCGGCTCCTCATCAGTATGCGCGGCGGTTGCTCAGGTGACACGGCCGCTGGATTCGGTCCCGACTGCAGGAACATCAGCAGCGTGGCGGAGCGCGGGATCGCAGGTAAGGACAATGAGAACAGGCGGGAGAAAATGAGGAGAGACAGGGGAGGCAGGGAAGGGGAGAGGCAGGAGTGGAAGGCAAGGGAGGGACTTCTTTTAAAGGACTTAACACACACACACACACACACACACACACACACACACACACACACACACACACACACACACACTTATGCACTTTATACTGCTGTAATTCTGCACACACATTTCAGCTTTAAGCCCCCCTTTGCAAACAGCACACATGTGTTTGTCCTTATCTGCAGAGGTATGCCACTTGCCTACTACAGTAGGAAACAGTGATCATGTAGTTTTGAAGTATTTATTTGTTATGAATTTGTTATTTGCAGTTCCAAAAATCTTTTTTTATTTTGTATTAAGATTCACAGAAAGTATTATTGTAAATAAATGTTGTGATTAAGAAACATGTCATGTGTTTGACGTTCAATCTCCTGCTTTTCCTGTTGAGCTTTCAATAAAGTGAATAAAAGATGAATGAGTTGTGTGTTTGGTTATTTATAAATCTAATGTTTTATTCCATGTGAGCAAACAACGGAGGAAATCCTGCAGCTTCCCCTCCAAACATTTTCATTGTTTTCACTTGTGAGGTTTTCATTCCCCTCGATATGTGGGATATTAGTTTTGATGCCACGGGCAACAAAGAGCGAGGTGTATTAGACAAATACTCATACACTCTGTAAGTGTGTGTGTGTGTGTGTGTGTGTGTGTGTGTGTGTGTGTGTGTGTGTGTGTGTGTGGCAGAGAAGAAGAGGAGAGGCTAAGAAAGGGAGGAAAGAGAGGCTGTGTGTAGGTGTGTTTTTGTGTTTTTGTTTGCTCTGTTTGTGTGTGTGAGAGAGCGAACTAGGGGCTGTGTGTGTGTGTGTGTGTGTGTGTGTGTGTGTGTGTGTGTGTGTGTGTGTGTGTGTGTGTGTGTGTGTGTGTGTGTGTGTGTGTGTGTGTGTGTGTGTGTGTGTGTGTGTGTGTGTGTGTGTGTGCGTGTGCGTGCGCGCGTTGGGGGGAGCAGTGCGGCCAGGCTGCAGATATCATCCATCTCCCTGTCACAGGCCCAGGGGCTGCTGGGAAAGTGGCAGACAGCTCCCCGGCTCTGACAACAGAGGCTGCATCCTAATTTTTTCGAACACAGAAAGCTCGGAAAAAAACCCTGCGCTGCTGCTCCCTCGCCGCCCAGAACGGAGCTCCATTAACCCTGCAGACCGGAGACAAAGCACCCTGCTCAGCGCGGGACACCGCTGGCAGAGAGACGCACACCTCCCAACATCCTGCAGAAACACTTAGCATGACGTACGCTTATAAAACATTCATAATATGTTAAATTCTCTCCCCATAAATCTGCAGATTAACAGAGTTAAATCCTGATTTATGAACGTCTCATACTTGATGCCAAAGCACTGATTTGTTTATTTATTCGTCTGTTTAGAGAAATATAAGAAACTCAGACTTAGAAAATGGTGCAAAAGCTAGCAGGTGAGCTAACAGCGCACGCCCACACTGCAGTGATTTCAATTCATAAATCATTTCAAAATGAAAGTCCTGCTTGCTCGGGCTGTTGTAACTGGATTACATGCCTTCTGCTTGGCTGTGACTAATTGTGTTATAAAGCTGTTGTCTGATATTCTATAGCTTTTGTTAAATGTGCCAGAACTATCTCCCATCTCTCCTTAAATGTTTCTATTTATCTCTCTGTGGTCAGAGCCATCGGATAAACTCTGAAATGAGAGGTCAATTAGTTTCCATTTAAAGGACGTCAGGGGAGAGGCGTTTTAAAAAAGTGTTTGTTCTGAGCTTGTTAAGTTTTCAAGTTTTATAGTTTCACCAAAACAAGAATATAAATATAATCCAAACAACAACTAAATGACGATGAGGTTTAAAAGAAAAGGAAACAAAACAATATGAATAAAAAGGCTTCAGCTTAAAATGATGGCGGTACTTTGATCATAACATGTTCACTGATCGACAATCAAGTCAAAAACACAAATATTAAAAGTGTCAAATGTGTTCAATTCAAACTTACACACGTGATTCAGGTCTAAAGAGGATGAGTCATTCATGTTTAATTAAATATCATAGTAAAAATAAATGTGTATAAAAAATGTGATGAACTGTTTTGGGTTTAGTAATATTCTCTGTGCATGTTTTTGGTGTTAAGTTACTTGATGAGTACACAAACGACTGAAATATAAACACTTGTGTCAGAGTAAAAGTGTGGATGGTTACGTCTTCATACAGCGGACATTTCACTCAGTGATCTCGACAACACATTTTTGTATTTTTTCCAAAATACGTTTCTGGCAGAAAACTTTCCAAAACAAAATTGTCCCTCAGAGGGGGGTCTTTAGTTTCTGTTGTCTTTTCTCTCTGGAACAAACGTCCTGCTGACCTGAGGTCCATCACTACTGTCTCTACTTTTAAAGCTAAACACAAAACCCTATCTTTTCTAACAAGTATAAGAAGAGTAACTTTTGTATGTGTTTGGGTGTATATGATCACTTGATGTTTACTTTGTGGTGTGTATGATTTTACAGATTTGACTTCTGCTTCTTCTTCATGACTTTGGAAAGAATCTTTTTTTGTATGCTGTTTTTTAAACCTCATTGTAGAGCACATTGAGCTCACCTGTAATGAAATGTGCTTCATAAATAAAATTGCTGTTATAAAGAAATGTCTAAAAATATCATGAATAAAAATAATAGTACTAATAATAATTGACTTTCCACACAGAACATGTCCCTGTTATAAAAGTAATGTTATCTAAGACGTGGCTTTTGTTGTCTTTGTAAAGATTTTTACAACTTTTATGAATTCATGATTTTATTTTTCAAACTAGAGTGTTTAACAACGCTAACATTTAACATGTGAAAGAATCAAATAATGCAGACTAGAACACAAGAGTGATCTGCTCTGTGGTGAATATTTTTAATCTGCTGTCCCTGAAAAAGTGTTTAAACTTTGACAAGAGGTAATGTTTAAAGCATTCATGTCAGGAGGATGATAACAAACGATACACGATCAGAAACTAATCGACACATTTCAGATCAGCTGTCACCACGGGGGAGTTGTGTTATGTCTATGATTATGTCAGAAATGAGAACGAGTCATGATCAAAGCTGTGAGGACACAGTCTGCTGGTTGCAGGTTGGAGCTAATGATCCTCATGTTTGTGTTTAGGTCATGTCTGTTAGCAGTATCTTTCACTTATCATGTGCTGCCCACATGTATGTGTCAAAAGTAAAAGCTCAAATAAAGTGTGTGACATAAATAGTCACATTAACTCTGTGGAAACTACACAAGTAGGATATCAGGACTAATAATCTCATGTCAGAAATCTTTGTCTTATTGTCAAAATGATTTATAATTTAGAGAATTTTCATGTCATTCTTTTGCATTTTCGATTTGGCTTATAAAACACAAATATATGAAGATATAATGTCATTTTAAATCTTACATAAACAAATACATACTATTGGACAATAAAATGTGTTGTTTTAACCTTCTCTCAACATGAATAAATTCATTGTTCAACAAAAAATATTTTCTTGCTGCTGCAGAGGCAGTGACTTTAAACTCACTTTACGGTTTTGAACATTGAGATTTTATCTCTGACATGCTGTGCAAGAATTTATAAAGATGTAGATTATTCCTCTCTCTCTCTCTCTCTCTGTCTTCAAAATTTCTAACTTTATCCCCTGTCCAGTCTCTCAAAATAAAGGTATAAAAAGCCCCAAAATACATTTTTACATTTTTATGTGTTTCTATAATTTCGGTGGTGAAGAACAAACCTCAGAGCAGAGACGACCAATGTGTCGTCATGGCAACACTTTCAAACTTGCTTGTTAATGTTTTCTTTTTTTCACAACAGTAAAAAAAAAAAAAAAAACTGTGCTTGCAGAAATATTGTTCCTCTTTGAAAGAAGTTGACATAAACTATGAAAACTAGGGCCTGACCCATATTAGATTTTTGGATAGGAAAAACAATCAACCAATGCCAGAGGAAGAGGTGAATCTTAGAGCTTGAACAAAATAGAACCTTATGTGGAGGTTTGAGCCCAGATTGGAACACTGTGATTTGATTTTCTGCACCATAGCTTCTGTACAATAGTTGCATTTGAGTGAATTTGAAAACATATTCAGATAACTCTGTATTTGTGGTATAGGTCTGACTTGATGAGATAATAGTGGTGAACAGATGCACAGTCTGAAGCGATAACTATGTTATGTAATGTGTCCCACTTTTGTAGTCTATCGCCTCTCTCGCCAACCTCGTGACTATACTGATTTGTTTTAAAATGTGGTGTTTATGGATCTTTCGCAGCCGTGCAGTGTTGGCTTCAACAAGTCTAAATTCAGATAGAAATGCAAATTAAAACGTGCTAAAAAAACTGCTAACAAGGCTAAGTAGCAAAAGTGCATGACCTTAACCACTAACCACTTAAAAGCATAAATATCAGTCTCGCTCAGTTGTTGGGTCATGAGAGAAGTTAAATGTTGCACTTTCACATCTTTAATTCCACCTCCTGGTGTCGCTAACATGAAAAGTATTAAAACTTACATTCAGCTCGACATAAACGGAACAAACTTAAAGACCCCAGTAGTTTTTTAAGACGTGAAATAAATAGCGCAGCAGTATACATCTCACTGGATTTGCCATTTGTGGTTTACATTTCTATCTTTGGCTGTCTGTAAAACATGAACTCTGTAACACAGTGCACATGGGAACAAACTACGAGGAGAGACTGAATACAGGAGACGAGTTCAACCAGGGTGTCTGTAAAGCTTCACAGAGCTTCAAATACAAACACTTCAGCTTCTTCGCCTTTTAACAAGAAGTCATTTCCTCAGTTATTCCCTCATGACCTGCACACAGCAGTGACTCTTTTGTTTTATTACTCACAGGAATATTTGTTGTGCAAGAGGTTGAGTTCTTCCCTTTGCAAAATATCATTAGCCAAAAAGCTGCTAATGCATGAAATGGCTTCCTGTTGATTAACAGTTTCCACTTAATGACCCCCCTCCCTCAGGTCTGCAGAGGTGTGTCCCTGCAGCGTTTTGCACGATGTCGCTTTGTTTCGGATGGAGCTTCCCAGCTGTTTTCAAATCTCTGTGACTGAATCCACCACAGTCTGCAAACATGAGGCTGCAGTTCAAAGAGAGACCCCTCTGAAGCCTGGGAATCCAACCCTGGCCGGGCACACAAAGACCACTTTGATTTCTGACGAGTAAATAAACATCATGCTTGTACACGTTACCACAATCTGCTGACTGTGTCTGTGTGAGTGCAGGGCCTCAGGGAATGTAACTCAGAGGAGAAAAAGAAACATACACAAGCTTCTCAAATGTTACAAATGAGGCTTGAAAACACATAAACCTCGCCACAGAGAGCGGCTGCAAGTGTGTGTTTACAGCTCACAGACTCATTTGTGCTGTGTGTGTGTGTGTGTGTGTGTGTGTGTGTGTGTGTGTGTGTGTATGGATATAACATATGCACTTTGTGGTTTTTACACGTTTCAGTATCCAGATGCAAAAGAAGATGCAGTATACATGGCTAAAGTTTAGTTTATTTTGGCTCATTTAAAACTGTTTATGAATTGAATAAATGAATTAATTTGTATTTACGCCATTAAAATGGGCCTTAACTATATGAGGTTATTTGGCATATTTTAATAACATAGAATAAACAAACACAGAGCAGCTTTATTTATACAGCACATCTGAAACAGAGGCAATCCAAAGTACATATCAATATTAGGCAACAAATACTTAGAAATGTGAAATAAACATATCAACAAAACATAAATTAATCAAAATATAATCCAAAGGAATTTAACAAATTGTTCAAAGTGACATAACAACAAATGACTAAAATACAAACAGTGAGAAGAAATAAAAGGAATAATATGGACAAAGGCACAGGAGAACAAATGAGTAATGGACTTAATTTAAACTAAATATTTGAGGTTTGATGTTCACCTGAGGAGGACTTTTTGACTTTAGAATTCCTCTATTTTCTAATGTCGTATTGTTTGAATTTATTAGTACTAAATAGGCCTACCTGAAAAAATGTAGCTAGTCAAACCTAGCTAATAACAAACATGTTTACAGTTAGTTTAGCCTATTAGCTACACTCAATTCAAAGTAGCTAGTAAGCTAATGGTAAACAGGGCCATTGTCCATACCTTGTTCACCATCCAGGTTCAGTTTATTTGCTGAGTCGGGCTAATAAGAGAAACTAAGATTATGAGTTAAATATAGCTAGCAAGCTAAAGGATGGCGATGAAAACATTATACCTGACAAACATGGCCTGTTGTCATTGTGAGCATGTGTGTACATTTTTATGAAGTTTCTTATGCTTACCAGTTTGGTTTGGCTTATTAGCTAAGTTAACCTAGTTTGCTCATAAGTTAGCAAGTTTAGTACAAACAAAGTACAAATTCTGTTTAGTTTAGCTTATAAGCTAAACTATTATGTTAGGGAGGTTTAGCTGTTATTTCAAACAGTGCCAGTGAATATGATTACTTTAAACCTGAAGAACATCAGCACCTTAGCCTACCCTTTTATAAAATGCTAGTTTACTAATGTTAGCTTTAGCTCACAGCAATGGTTTAAATACATACCTAGACCCCCACAAAGCTGCTAGCGTACCTGTGGACCCTCAGTCTGTTTTATTAACAGGAATCATGGAGCTAAGGTTTTTAAATCTTTCAATAT